GAGCGTGTCAACTTTTAATGGGTTGCCAGTCAAGCGGCTATGCCGCAAAGCACACACGCACACATAGACACACACGTGTGCATATTCAATATTCATATTCATAATTATATTCATCTAATATTTATATGTAGCTGCACTAAAGCTTTTAATGAATCAAACTTTACTTCAGTTGCATTAAGTTTCCACTCTAGCCAAAAAGTATGCACAACTTTTTTAATGCGCTTTGCTGTGGCCGCTTAGCCGCGCAAAGCTTAATTCGCGCCGCGGCGTACTCCTTTTTACGCCATCCCAGCACCCATTCATCACCCCTCATCAACCCACCCCAAAACTTCTTTAACACATTTTTATTCACGCTGCCTTTCAAAAGGAAATCTCCTATTTTTTATGGCAATGGCGACAAAAAACTATTTGTGCAAACAACAAAGAAAACTTGCGCACAAAAAGGAAAATCATCATCAACAGCAGCGGCAGCAGCAAATGCAGCTTCAGCTTCAAAAGCGCAACAAAAGCAATTTAAATTTGGCCAACGGCATTTGGGAGTTGGCCAAGCGAGCGTCAATTTCGTTTTAGCCTAACGTTTTAAGTCATAACTTTTTAATTTGTTTTGTCAGAGACAGAGACTAAGAAATGTAAGAAATGAGTGTATGTGTGTCCTCTCTCTGTCTCTCTCTCTCTTTCTCTCTCTCTCTGTGTGTCTCTGTGTGTGTTTTTTCCTCTAAATCTTTTCTGCTGCTATTCCTTTAGCACATGTCCCACGACTGATTAGCGCAATTGTATGAACACACACTCCCACACACCCACACACACACACACACACACACGCACAGCAACTCTAATTGTGTGACAGAGCCCATAAAGTGTGCTATAATTTTCAATAGCCCAAAATCGATATGGCCCATTCGTTGTCGTTCAGTTTGTGATGCCTGCATGCTCTCGAAATCATAACAATGCCTAACCATAATATTCCCCTCCCGCACCCCCTTCCACGCACAGCCAACACACAGCTGAGAGGGGGCGAGCTTTTGATCAATGCAAAAATGTTCGGGTGTACATGTCCCTAGGGTTGATTTATCTATTTAATCGACAACATTGTTGGCGCTAGGCACAGATGCTGGAGAGGGAACCGAGTACAGCATAAGGTGGAGCTGGCTGTCAATATTTAAAACGTTGTCCTTGTCGCTGCTACAGCAGCAACAACAACAGCAACAACTCAGGCCAACACTCGGCCTGGACGACTGACTCGCTGCGTGCTTAACAAGAGTTTATTGAATTTTATTTTCTCATCTCAATTTGATGTGCGTGTCTCGCCCTTGTGTCCCGCTGCCACGCTGCCCCGCTGCCCCGCTGCCTCGCTGCCCCGCTGCGCCAGCCACCCATCTGTGTGCTCTACATTCAACATTTCTTGACAATCACCGCCCTGTCGCTTGAACTGGGCAACAGATTGTCTGCCCTATTTGAGAAAGGAGGGCGTGGGCGTCTAGTGCATTTAAATTTCAAATTATTTTATTGCTGCCTGCCAAAATAATTGAAATTTTAGTTAGAAAACTCGTTTCTTCTTTTTATTTTTTTTTCTTGTATTTTGTTGCTTGTAAATCGCTTATTATAAATTTCTCTTCGAGCCGAGCGGAAAACTTTTGCGCCGTATTCGTGTTGTCCAAGTTTTCCGATTACGGATTAATGTAATTTTATTAACTTTTTTTTTTATATTACTATATATATTTTTTTTCTTCCCGTTATTTTGTATTATGAGAGGAACGCACTTTATATACGCGTATTTGCTGACTTCTATGCTCGACGCGAGCGAGAGCGTTTCAAAGTTTGATGAATTTTTAAATTTAAAAAGTTTATTTGTGCATTTCTAAGTTAGATGTTGGCTTATTAGAAGTGCAGGCTGCCAGGCCAAACGGCAAACGCCGGCCCCATGTCCAGGCCGGCCAGGCCGTCCAGGGCGTCCAGGCCACCACTTACACTTCAAAGCCAGCGCTGGCTTTGACACTTTGTATGCTGCTCCTCTCGCCGCTTTGTAGACACAAATTTATTATTATTTTTTGTATGTTGTATCTAATGCTTCTTTTTTTTTTTTTTTTCAACCACAAAGTGAAATTTTCAGCTGAAATTAAAATTGCGTGCATTAAACGCAATCTCTATTTGCTTTGCAAACTTTTCCTGCCGCCCAAGGCTCTAAAATACTGAACACAGATTTGATGAGCTCCCAGAGGCTATTTGTATATGGGGATATTTATATTTAATATAAAATATGACATTTGCTGGCAAATATTTGCATTGAAATGAAAAGAACTAGTTTTTAGGCAATTTCATTTGTGTAGTAGAAATTAATTATTTCTCTTATTTTTAATAATTCTTTCAAAAATTCAAGGTAATGTGAAAATCTCCTCTATTACTTATCGGGAACAATGAAAACAAACATTGAATGTTTGTTGTTTGTTTGCATGCTATATGCATACGACACGCATTTGTAAACAACAAATTCAAATTAAACAACAATAACTACAGCAAATGCATTGTTTTTCACTTTTTGTCCAGGTGCAACATATGCAACATTTGCATGTTGCCATAGCCGTATTAATAGCAATAATGACCATATTGCGCATTGTAATAATAATAATAACAAAACAACCAGAAAATACATATGTGTGTATATGTATGTATATTTTCATAAAATTTGTTATATTACACATTCGAATATTTTACAGCGTTTTCAATGTTCGTGTGCAAAATAAATGCAGAGCAAAAAAAAAAAAATGGTTTAATGGATTTAATGGGCCAGGAGTCGGGTCGACAGATCAAATAGTCGAGCGATTCGCTCGTACGGCTGGGCGATAAACAAAATCAATTACAGATAACTTAATGTCGACGCCAATGCAATTGTTTGTTTGTTTACTCTGCGGGCGGCGGCTTTTAATACAGTCATTTAGCTGCAGTTGAAATACAAACGAGTCGTGCAATTGTGACAGTCGGGATATGTTCAAAATCGATAATGAACGGAGAATGGACACGCTTAAAAATTGTGTTCAGTTGAATAAACACACACACACAGAGCTAGAGAGAGAGAGAGAGAGAGGATTGAAGTTGTGGCAGCTGAAAACAGTTAGTTCGTTTTGTCCAAAAGGGAGCTAGCGCAGTTTTTATGTGCAACTTGCAACAATTTGCAGCGACATTGCCAACTAATCAATATGGACGACATGTGGCACCACTAGCAGGCCACCACCGCCGCCTGCCACCTACAGCAGGAGGGGTGTTGCAGCTAGGGAGCAACTACTGCCACGTCAGGCCATAAGTGCACGCCAAACAATTGCGGTTAATGCTCGCATGTGCGAGATATTTATGACTGATAAAATAATAAAGCAAGCGCAACCACACACACACACACACACACACACACACACACACACACACACACACACACAAAGCTTGCAACGTGGCAACATTGAGGCACCAAAGTTTCGCAATGCACAGGCCTCAGCCAAATGTGAGCCTTAACCAAGCTCCACTTAACTTCTGCTTCACTGTTTGTCCTGGTTTTATAAAAAAAAAAAAAAAAAAAAAAAAAAAAAAAAAAGGAGCGCAAAAGGGCTTTTCCATAAATATATTCACGACCCTTCAGACGACCACGAGCACTCATCAGTATGCCAGTCGCATGGTCAAGCGGTTGCACATTATTTTATTACGCACAATTGAGTGGCACGATGTCACGCCCATCGATGGGCGATGCCAGAAATACTTTGGTACGTGTGCAAAGTGCGCTAGCGCCAATAATAAAACACGGCAAAAATGGGCAAAATGAGACAAATAGGAAAGAAAAATAAAAATAAAAATAAATAAATGGGCGCACAAATCGAATGGCACAGACAAGTGGATTAGAAATATGTCGATAAAAGTCCACATAAATATAGGTATATACTGATGTATATCTATATAAATGTGATATGTATATTCTCTGTAGTAATTAAATTGCAAATTAAATATTCGTACAAATGATACGTTTGTGGGGAGCTCTAGTCGGTTACCCGCATAAGAAACTAGGCATATGGCATGAATATGTCAAAAAGTTGGCTGGGAACCCGAACAGATTATTCCAATATAATATTACCCTTTATGTGCATTCAAAATGAGATACTTACAAGCTAACAAGATTGCGCGAAACTTAAGCTAGTAGATAATTCAATTTACAAGTCTACAGTTGAATAAATTTAATAACAACAACAATTACAACACGCATACAACATCAAATGAGGAGAAGAAGCTACTCAGTACAGAGAGTGAGAGAGAGAGAAAGAGAGAGAGAGAGAGACGACAGAGGTCGGTGGCTTGGGAAGAGAAAGAAGGCGAGAGAGATATTTATATATCTGTGATACGGTACTGTGTGTTTAGCTAAAGAGCGCAATTAGTGGATCAAGTGGATCAGTGATCGATTTATTAAAGAGATTAATTGACTAATTGTTCTAGGCCTACAATAAAATGAGTTCAAAATGTTTTTAATGGCACGCAGTGTTAAAGAAAATATCTAACTACTAGAGAGAGAGAGAGAGAGAGAGTTCTGAGATAAACAACAAAAATGAAAAGAACAAAAAAATGTAAAAAGAAAATAAAGAATTATCAGTGTGTGTGGAGAGGAAAATTAAAAGAGAAAAGCTTATTTCTGTTAAGTTAATTTGGAAATGCAATGTTTTGTTGTTGTTAGCGTTTTTAGTGAACACACAAACCTTTTTAGGAGAAGATAAGTGTAGTGAAGTTGGCGATGGCATAGAACAATCAGAAGATGCAGAGCTGCAGCCGCTACTGCCGCTGCTGCTGCCAACGGCGCCGGCGTGGGCGACAGCTGCTGGCGGCGGTCCCAGTAGCGAGACCAGGCGGCCGCCAACACTGTACGCCGGATGGCCAGCGTCGCCAGCGGCAGCGGCGGCGGGCTGCTTAGTAGTAGTGGTGGTAGATTTGGTAGTAGTTCTAGTTACATCACATAGATTAACTGAGTTATTTACATTGTTGCTCGGGGTGGTCGCCGCTGAGGTGGGCGTGGCGGCTGTGGCAAACATGGCGGCAGCAGCCACAGCGGCTCCACTACATGCCGGTATTATCGTGAGCGGTGTTGTTGGCGCGGCATAATACTGTGCTCCACCTGCCGCCATTCCAGCTGACGCGTATTTGGTGGGCGTGGCCGGCGCAGCAGCCACATTGTTCACCTGCAGCTGCATATACGTCTGTAGCATAGCATGAGCCTGAACCTGCGCCTGCTGCTGATAGTGGAACTGCTGTTGGGCGGCCTGTTGCTGTTGTGCCTGATGGTGTTGCTGTTGCTGCTGCAGTTGGAGCTGCTGTTGATGTTGTGCCTGCTGCTGCTGTTGCTGCTGCTGTTGTGCGGCAACGGCAGCCGCCGCGGCCTGATGATGAAGCAGCATTGCGTGTTGCTGCTGCTGTTGCTGTTGTTGCTGCTGCTGCTGCTGCTGCTGCTGTTGATGATGTTGCTGGACGGCGACGACGTTGCTCTGCTGCAGCATTGCAGCTGTGGCGCCCGTCGGATAGGCTTGATATGCGCCCGCGGCAGCAGCTGCGGCGGCAGCGGCGGCGGCTGCTGGATGCTGCAGGTGCAAATGATGTGGATGCGTGGGCGGTGGTGCTTGCAACAGTTGCATTTGCTGTGCGTGGTGTGAATTGATGCGCATTCAGATTATTCTCAATATTTGCTTTCGTTTGGGGCTAATTGAAGTTTAAGTTTCAGTTTGGTTTTGACTTTGGCTGATTTGGCAAATGTTGGCAAACAATAATCCATTCAACGGATAACTAAACATAATATAATATCAAGTACAACGCACAACTGGCGAACCCAAATTATATTCAGAGAAACAAAACATACAAATTCAATATGAGGAAACTGAAAATCAACTGAAAAGAGTAGTAACTCCATAGCTCCCCAAAGTTACTGACCAAGGTGCACCAATCGTGCCTCGTCTATTGGGTAAATTATAAGATTCGTATTTTGGCTAGAAGGTAAATTCGTGTGCGCTATGCAGCGCAGAGTAAAAGGTGGCAAAATTAGCAGGGATCAAAGTGAGAGCAGTGACTAAATGTTATAGTATAGAGGTCGTTCGTATAGAGAATAGCTGGTTAAAACTACAATTTATGAGTAAGCAAGAGAGATAGAGAGTGAGAGAGAGAGAGATAGATAGATAGAGAGCGAAATCTATAGAAAGAGAGATCTTAAGAGAGCCAAATAGAATATAGATTAAAGACAGCCAGCAATTGGTGGTAAAAGTATAAGCTAGTTTCAAGACCAGAACTCGGGCTAGAAATTGTGTGTATGTATATAAGCGTTAGATTACGAGCCAACGAGCCAACATTAAACGCGCTCCAACGCCTGAGCGAAACAGAGTCGACAGGGCATGGAACCTCAGTTTTCTTTGGATCATATCATCAACACCAATCAATGATACAAGCACATAAACTTTAATTAGTCATTTGCTCTTAAGTCGCACTTTAATGTCAATGGTGAAAACAGGAATAAGAAAATAGCTAAAATAAATTCCTACGATAAGTCGAAGAATTTGTACATTTGCAGCTGAAATCATTTGAAATCAAATGCGGATTTATTTTAATCATTTTTTTCTTAGTATTAAATAAATTAATTAATAAATATTCTATAGACTAGAAGCTGTAATTTTAATTGTGTTTATAGGAATTTTAGTTTAGATTTTAGGGAATTAGAGATTTTAAAATATCCCAAAATATTCTTTTAGGTATTGCTTGAAATAAGCTGTGAACCACTCTAAGTCAAGAGAAGGACGAAATTATAATTATATGTATTTGCTTTTGACATATTTACTGGAACCTTTTATTACATTCAATATAGACTTATATATTTGAGATATAAGATTTGTTTAGAATACTTTTATTCACAATCTTTCAATTAGGAAAATCACCATGATTTGGTTATGTATTGGAGCTTGCTTCATCTTTTTTAATTTCGCAAAATATTTCCATCAGACAGAATTATAAAATCTTGTCAAGAACTCGTTCTGACTATTTCTAAAGACTTTCTCTGCACATGTCTCAAATGTAAGCATATATTATAGAGAATAATTTATTTAGAATTTGTGTATATACAAGAACGTGAATAGCAACGATAAGGCCAAATTAACTTAAGTGACTTAATAAATATAGCAGATTCTATACAACAACTCCACAGCGGATTAGAATAGAAATGATAACATAAATTAAATAATTAGATAGACTTGAAAGAAAATATAGAACCATTGACATTTGTTTGTTCGACCCTTGGCGCTCGTAATCGAACTGCTTATAGTACGTTTAAGTTATAGTTAGGTAGTAAGTATATATAATAACTAAAAATATGAGTAGGTAGTAGAGAATAGGAATAGTTTCATTTTGCATAGTAAACTGTACAAATTTTTGTATGCGGATTATCATATATATACTGGTTAATTCGATTCGAATCGATTGTATTGTTATTTAATTATATGTATGTATGAGTATTAACAAAAACGAAACGTTGGATTTCAATTTTCAATGTAAATGGTGAATATCTCAACTTTCGTCTCGTATATAAGTATATATAGTTTTTATTTTGATATATAATTTGGTCGATTGGCAAATTTTGGATTTGCGTTTCATTTTCAAGTGCATTTTCTTGTGCATTTTGTTTTAAGTTTTTGTTTTTTGTTTTTGTTTTTGGTTTTATTATGTTGTTGTTAGGATGTGGGCGTCGCTTACCATGATTAAATCTTGTATAGGGGAGGGCTCGGCTGTTGAATCAGATGCAACGATTTCGCTTTTTACCGTTAACGGCGGCGACGGAGTTGCTGCTGCTGCTGCTGCAACTGTAGCGCTGGCTGCGGCTGCGGCTGCAACTGTCGGCGGTGCGGCAGCGCTGGGACTGGGGCTGGCGGCGTTGGCGCTGGCGCTGGCGTTTGCAAGCGACGCTTGAGAGCTGCTGCTGATACTGAGCGCTGCAATCGCTGCTGACGCCGTGGTTTCTGTTAACGCGGCAATGATGACAGTTTTATTGGCAACAAATGTTGATTGAAAAATTCTAGATTCTGCACTGGTTTTTGTTGTTGTTGTTTGTTTGTTTGTTTGTTTGTTTTTTCTTTTCTTTAGTTTTTTTTTCGTTTTACTTTTAGTTTTACTTTTAGCTTAAGTTGCGATTTTTTTTTACTTTGCTCTTAGCTTTTAAATGTTATTATTTAGCTTATTTTTGTTTTTGTTGTGATATTTTATTTGGTATTTTCTTGATGTGGGAATTGCACGGGTTTTGGTTTTGGGTAGTCGAGAGAGTTAAGTGCTTGTATGTTTAGTGAGCTTGTTTATTGCCAATTCTGTATATTTATACGATGATATATCAATATCTATATATCGAATGCCAATCGAGTAATTTTAAGTAATTTATGCCAATTGTGTTCAAAAGTTTTACGCAAATTGTTATCAAGTGCTTGAAGAGTGCTGAGACTTCAATTTAGTTTAATTAACGTTTCTATTGCGCCAGGAAATATTCAAGTTAAATATTTATTAAGTTGTTGTTGTTCTTGTTGCTGTTGAGCGTAGTTTCAAGTTAATACTTGTCTGCAGATTGTCTTACCTATTTATATGGGCACTCTAAAGTGCAATGTGCTTATGTCTATTGTGTATCACTACTGAGATTGAATAATTAGACATGTATAATATGCTCTGTATATATATATATGTATATATATATATATATTTATATGTATATATATTTGGATTTAGATGTATAAGTATAGAGAATATATATAAAGTGTATAGCGTAAAAGTTTTGAAAACCGTTTAAAGATTGTTTAGAGTTTGATGATTGATTGATTGATTGATTAAGCCTTCTTAAGTTAAGTTAGGGGGGAAAATTGCCTTAGAGATTGTCGTAGAGTTTTTTAAAGTTTTCTTTCGTAGTTTGAGGTTTGATTTAAGTTGAGAGCAAAAGTTGCGAAAAGTTCTTTATAAATATAAATATATGTAGAGCAGCTGTATATATATATTTATGTATGGTACTTATATAGTATAATGTATATATAGTATAATGCTCTGGTTATTGCCTGACTCTGAATGCTTCGATTGCTCTGCTACTCAACTTCGGCCTTAAATATATACGCTAATTTTTACTGATTGTCAAAACGCGTACTCTTGTCGATCGAGGCATCAAGTCCCAACGATTTCTCTGCCTAACTCTAAGGAAACTATTCTACAAATATGATTGCTAAAAACTAAGCCAATTGTCACTACAATTAGTCAAGAGAGCTAATGGAAAAAATCTCTGGTTGATTGACACCGTTTCAGCTATTACGTTTTAATCTATTTTTAGGTAATTCTTGCTACAATTGACTGCTTTTTGAATTCAGTTACAACCAGTTAATTATGATAGACACTTAACAGACACACACACACGCAAATGCACACACACATAGACACATAAACAGATATTTGTATTTGATATCTGGTATTTACTTTATGTCTGTATATATAAATATATTTATATATTATTTTTTCGCTTTCCGCTTTTATGTTTTTGATTGATCTGCACTTTCAATTTCAGCTATAATAATTAAAAAATGCTAATTACTTGTTTGCATTTCCCCTTTTGATATGTTGCTATTTATCTGACTGCTATTGACGCACCTTTTGTAAATATTTATACTTAATTTCAATTTAACAACCTTTGCATTCGCATATTCTTCCAAAAATTCTACACTTTAATCCCCGAAAAAAAAAAGAGTAAATAAAAAGGATGAGACAAATTAAACCGAAAGGGATGCTAAATATGAACTCTGGGATGGGGGCACAAAAAATGCAATTACTTAACCCTGGACCGCCGTTTCTTGAACGTTATCACCTTTATATAGCCCCTGTTGCTAGGCTTACTCCTTTTCTTTCACCTGGCTACAAATCGTGTGCCTATACCTGTATTTCGAAAGTGCTGTTCCTAATTGATTTTCCCCCTTGTGTTTGCTTTGGCTTTGCCAGTCTCACGTGCAAATTACGCTCAAAATTAACAATAAAATATACAATTCAATCGAGATGAATTGCCAACAATTGTTTTGTTTATTCTTCAATATATTTAATTTAATTTTTAAAAAAATTTGACTTCTTTGTAAATAGTTTTTTAAAAATCTTCTCAAATTGGCGCTACGCAATTATTACACAATTCTTTCTCGCTTTTCGCTTAATACTGTTCTGAGTTTTTGATTTGCTTTGAATTCTCAGCTGCTCACAGAGGCGGAAATCAAGATTAATTTGACTTTGATTTCCTCTTTTATATCTTATATATCATTAAAGTTAACAACAATTTGCCACTTTTTTGTTTTTGCTTTTAGTTTAGCTGCCTTTTGTGCCGTAATGCTTAATGTTTAGTTTTTCTTTTGAATGCGTTCTGTTTCTGTTGGGTTTCGGTTCTGTTGTTTGGGGGGATTTCGTCTGGATTGGTGTGGGAAAGAGTTTGGTTTGATTTGGGTACAGAAAAATACCAGTTGATTCTTTTTGATTATCAATTATTATATTTTTCGATCTTGAGGCTTGCTTGTACTGGTAGTTGAAAAAAAAATTAGATTAGTTTTAGTGGGCGAGTGTCAGAGTTTTTCATTAATTCCGTTTTGTATATAAATTTTTGGTTGAGAGAGAATGAAAAATGAAACCAAATCACAAAGTTTAAACATAAATTGCGTTATAGTTTTTTGTTAGTTTGTTAAATCAGATTTGCCAATGGAAAATTAGAATAATTGCGTCACTTTTCCGCAATTATTTTGGTCGAGGCTTTTTTGTTTATCATTTGCCAATTCAAAGCCAAACTTGAAACTTAAGTAACGAACGAACAGAAAAACGGGGGAATTCGTGAAACAAAAGAGAAACTAAATGAAGCGCAAACAAATAACAACAAAATGGCACAAAATGAGTAACGAAAACACACACAATGGGCATGAGAATACTTAATATAATAATTTTGCTCTTATTACCAATTAAGTGTCGAGTCAAAGTCGTTGCGAAGATGAAATGAAGTTGGTTTGTTTTTTGATATCTTTGTTTTTTAACTTTTATGATTCAATAGTTGTTTTGTTGGTGTTGCCTTTTCGTTGATGTTTTTTTTTTTTTAAGTTGTCTTTAATTTTTTTTTTTTGATTTGTTTGTGTTTTAATATTTTGTAACTTTTGTAGCTAAAATGTTGATTGTTTTATTTATAGATGTTTCTTGTTGTGGTTGTTGTTGTTGTTGTGTGGTTACTTGTAATTACGGCTCTGAAACAAAACAAAAAATTTGCCTTTGAATAATTTGTGCTCTTCTTGTCTGAAGTGCGTTAATAATTTTAGTTTTTATTTATTTCATTTTTATTTTGTTGCTGCTTATTTTATTTCAATTTTTTGTTTCTTTCTGTACGCACAAAAAACACGTTTTCAGACCTTACAAAAAAGCGCCTAAATGACTCTTGGCCAACTCTCTGCTGGCAGTTCTAACAATTGTGCGAGCGCATTACGCTCTCCGTGATTAGCACGCACGAAATTTCTTTGCCTTTACCGGTTTTGCCTTGCTTTTTATTTATTTTTGTTTTCTTTTTTATTCTCTTCTTTCTTTTTTTTTTTTTTTTTTTTTTTTTTTTTGTATTTGTATTTTTGCCTGACTCACAGTTTGTGGCTCTTGGGATCGCGTTGCCAAGTTGGACTCAGACTAGAGATATGAACGTAACTCTGTGCTCTCGCGGCGATTGGCTTGGAGACGTGTAATTACAACAATAAAAATAAACTACGGGAATTATTTCGATGCGTACTAAGTACGCGATTGAGCGGTTGAGTGAAAGAAAGAGCAACAGAGCCAGAGAAATAGAGAGAGCGAGAGAGGGTGAGAGAGAAGAAGAAGCGAAGCGGACGGGCAAAGTGAAGTGAGTGTGCGGCCTATTGGAACGTTGGCCATAAGGTTTTATGGCTAACAGACAGACACGCACACACAAACACAAAGTGTTTCTTTTTCGTGTGTGTTTGTTTTTTTTAATTTTTTTTTTTTTTGCTTTTGTTTTGTGTTTTGGTTTTGTGGCCCGCAAACACAAAAACGTGTTTCTTTGTTGCCGCTTGCCGCTTGCTGCCCGGCTAAGACTCAGTCAGCTCTCAGTGAGCGTTGCCTTTCCCGTCTAACGTCTCATGCACTGCTGATATTTCATTCTTTTCTTTTCTTTTTTTTTTTTTTGTATTCTTTCTGTTTTTTGCCGGCTTTGAAATTTCTTTGGTAGTCTTTTGAGCCTATTCGTGGAGCTGGAGCTGTTGTTGCTGCTGCTGCTCTTCTTGTTGTTGTTGTTGTTGCTCTTGACTTGAACAAGCCAGTGAGCTCAGTTTAGAACGTCTTCTTGGGCTGTTGCCGCTTTTGTAGAGCTTGGCCTGCCTGCCTGGCTTACTGGCAATAAGAATCAAAATCGAGTCGGCGAGCAACGAACTTTTGGCCAGCAATTCTTTTTATTGTCATTTTCTGGATATATGCGAGCATTGTGTACAGATATTTGAACAATTTTGTGCGCTTTTAGCTTAAAGATTTTTTTTTTTCTTTCTAAGTAAATTTTGCGAGCACAAAATATTTGTGTCTTTATTTATTATAAATTTTATTTTTGCTTTTGGTTTTTGTTTAATTTTAATTTGAATCTGATTTGTTTTGCCTAATGAATTTTAGCTTACATCTTGTGGTTGTTGTGGCTGTAGTTGTTGTTGTTGTTGCTGTTATTGTTGTTGTCAAGTGTCAGAATATACAAAATAGCGATACACTGATAGCGGCTAAGTTTCAAATCAATTTAGAGAAGTTCAAGTTTTTTAGCGTTCGTAGATCATGAGATTTTGAGATTTTCCGATTTTTATTTCTATTAGCACACACGTAAAGTGAAAACTCGAGAATTACCGAAATAAAGCCGTGTGAAAAAGTTTGCGGATTTGTTTTTATTTTGATTTATTTTTATATTTTCGAATTGAATTATATTGCATTTAGAAATATTTGTATTTTATTTTGATTGCAGCTGTTCATAAAGATTGATATGATTTCATTTGATTTGATTTGATTTGATTTGATTTTCGTTTACTTATTCAGAACTTGGCGAATTTTGACTATTTGATATGCTGCGTGTGTTTTTTATTATCCGCGTGCTATTTGCGAGACGTTGTTGCTGGTATTGCGGCTGTTTTCGATTTGAACTCAACTTTGATTTGGATATTGAAATTTTCGTGAGTGAGCGAACGCGTATGTGTGTGTGTGTGAGTGTGTGAGTGTTGCTGCTGCTGCTGCTGCTTCTGCTTCTGTTATTGTTGTTGCTGCTGTTATGGGTGTTTGCGTTGGTGTTGGTGGTGGTGGTGGTGCTGCTGCTGCTGCTGATGTTGTTGGTAGTGGTAGTGGTGGTGGTTGGTTTGTGATGTGTGTGCTGGCTGCGACGGCGACGGCGACGGCAGCGGCAGCGGCGGCGACGGCTACGACAGCGGCGGCGGCTCGGCGGCGATGAGGCTACGACTGACTACGGCTACCCTGTTGATGATGATAGCCAACAACAACAAAATACAACTCGAGAACTCTAACTGAAGAGAAGCGACTGTCGACTGTCGGCGCGCGTGTTTGGTTCTATAGCCAGGTATAGCTGTTCTTGTTGTTGTTGTTGCCGATTTTTGCTACTGCTGCTACTGTTGTAGTTGTATTTGTTGTAGTGGTTGTTGTTGTTATTATTACGGTGCCAGTTGCTGCTGTTGTTGTTGTTGTTGTTGTTGTTGCTGTTGCTGTTATACTACATATGATTTCTATAGAGCGAACGAGCGAGCGAGCGTACGAACGGCGGACAGAATTGGAACGGGTTAAAGCAAAGACTGTACGAAGACTGAAGTAAGAACGACTGGCATTCTAAGGTAATATACCTTTTTTTGTTTCGGAGTGCGGCAGCGCTGCTGTCGCCAGATTGAATCTGTTGCGCCAACGCTGCCGCCGGCAGCGACTGCGGCAGCGGCAGCGGCAGCGACAGCGACGCACGTTATCCAAAATAAAGCAACAGTAGAGGCCAGAACCGGACGAGTTCGACACCGACACCGACCACCAAGAGATGCTAGCTCGTGTACGAGACGACGACAACAACATCGACATCGACGACGACGACGACGACGTCGTTGACGACGACAGCGACGTAGGCTGGGCAGCATTTCTCCTTCTAGAAAAATTTACTCCGAAAATTGTATTCGGAGCGCGTAGCACACCTTTAGTTAGTCTCCTCTCTGCTCAGCTCACTCTCTCTCTCTCTTTCTCTGTCGCTCTCTCTCTCTCTCGCTCTCTGCTCTTCCTCTCTGTTGCTGTTTGTTACCTGCCGGTTCCTTGGCTTGTTGCCTCTTCAACGTTCTTTTGCCTTTGCCTTTGATATTGTTTTTGTTGTTGTTGATTTTGCTGTTGCTGCTTTTGCTTTTGCTGTTGCTGGAGACGCTTCATATTGAGGCTCGGCTTTTGTGGTGCCTCAGGTGTGCAATTATTAAACGTCTTTTGTTCATTATAATTTTTTCTTGTTTGCTGTCGTCGTCGTTCGCTGGGCGCGATTTGGTAACGTGTTCATCATTGTGTGCAAAGCCCCATGACTTTCGTTGTTATATAACACTCGTATAAGTCATCCACAATTCGTATAAGACTTTTTGAGGATCAGATGGGGAAGGCGCACACCAACTGGCCCACCTGAGCAGTTCGACGACGCTGTGGGATTCACCTTCGTGCGAAGGGACATTCGCTGTTGCCTCTGCCGCTCTGCTGCTGCTACCTTTGCTGTTGTAATAGCAGCTATTGTTGCAGTAACAACATTACTAGCACCCACCTACACACACACACACACACAGGCAGATAAGGACACACACACTTTGACACACACACGTGGGGCCATGTGAGACAGAAAATGCAAGCGCCATGCGTGCGCGCCCTGCCGATAGCCGCGTGCTGGTGCGAGCGAGCGAGAGTGTTGCTGTGCGAGCGGGAGACTGCGTTTAAGAGAAATGGAAAATCAAGAGGCGGCGTACGCAGGGCGACGGGCAGAGCGTGCAACGCAAAAAAGGCAAAACAACAACGATGACGGCGTCGTCGTCGTCGTCGTCGGCAGCGGCTGCGACGACAAAATCAACGAGAAAATAATAATTGTTACACCTGCTTCGGAAATGCGCGCAAGGGGTGGAAACAGAGCGCCCAACACACGACCAACGGCGACGGCGACAGCGACGACGACAAAGCAGCGTTCGCTTTCAGGTGAGCGGCGACGCTTTTGCCACCCTCCCACCAAGGCAAAGGCGAGCGTCGCAGCTGTCGTGCTGTCGTGCCGAAATGCCGAAGCACGGAAAACCGAACGGCTTTTCCGATGTCGCCCAGCCGAGCCGATGCTGCCGCTTGCCATCGCATCGCATCGCCTCGCGTCGAGCGCTATTCGTGTGCGAGAGTCCGAACGGACACAGCGCGCATGACAGCAAGGTGCAAATACGACCATAGGTGTGAATGAGGCAGTTGACGAGTTGTGGGTGACCGACACAGCCTGGGGAAAACATTTCCACTAGGGGTTGGCTGGAGTCCATGTAGGGGTAGCTCTGCAGGGGAAGGGATTCACTGTTAATGTGGCCACTGTTAAGCGGAAAAGCTTTTCGGAAAAGCTTAGCTGCAGGTATGAGCTATGCCTCTTGATTGACTGAGCCCACAATGTTTGGTAATAAACGAGCCCATCTATAGGTTGGTAAGAATATGCCAAGAAGGCTTAAATAGCTTTAATATTCACTTAAGAAAATAAAAATAATACAAGGCAAATTTACGAAAAAAAAATTTTTATTTTTTTTTTAAATTGAGCTGTTTAAATATATTTAAAAGTTATTTAATCAAGTAGATGGGTAAAAAAATTCAAATAATAATATTTAAAATAAAAATAATAAAAGTAATAAAAATAGGTTTGAGGAATAAATTTCATTATTAGTATTTCCTATATATGAAGTAACTTATGAAATTGAGTTGTTGAATTAGATTTGAAAATTATTAAGTCAAGTATATTGGCAAAAAAAAAACCTCAGAAATTAATATTTAAAATTAAAATAGATTTGAGAGATACATTTTTTTATTTCTTATATATATATTGTATAACAAATATGTATAATGAGCAAAGCCAGATATATTCCTATTATATATTTTCATATTCATTGAACATATTTAAGTTAAATTCGCTGTTTATAAAAGTATTTATTAAAAATAATTTATTCCATTTTTGATTGAATATTGAATTTAACTTAAATTAATTTGTTTATTATTAAATTTAATATAAATAAATTGGAAATTTAATCAAGATCTAATGGAGTTTAATATGCGCTAGGATAAAATAGACTAAGTAAGAGCAGAAAAAATATTGTAGGATTTATATAAATATTTTAAGATTTATATATTTATATAAATACATGTATTATATGTACATAATAAAATTTCAACAATATTGGCAAACAATTTTCGTCTATTCGGAATGTAAATAGTCTGCATTGCATGCCGAGCTGACTGAAAAGTTTCCACACACAATGGAATGAATTCAAATACAATTGTAATACATTTTAAGTGTTGTTTATTTGATCGAAACATGACCAAAAATGCCGCTCTCAACATGCCAATGGAATTGTTAGCTTTATAAGTGCACAAGAAATAAAATAGAAACAAAACAAATATATAGATAGATATTTCTCTGTAAATAAACACATTCAATTCGAGTTGCATGAAGTGCACTTTTTGATGGCAAATCCCTTAATACACTCAGCGGCACCCGGTAGAATGCAAATGTTGCCGTTGATAACCCGGCGAAAATCCCATAGATTTGGTCATATGATTCGGCACTGATGGAAATAAATTTCATTTATCGAAACATTTCGGAAGCAACAATTTTTGGATTGTTTTCGATTTTGTTTTTGTGTTGTATCAACAACTTTTAGGCTATTGGCCATGAGTGAGGCTCAGGAGTGTTTTAGCTTTGTCGACTGTCCGCATATGCTGCTCTTCTCTCTCTCTCTCAGTCTCTCTCTCGCTCGCTCACTCGCGGACAGACCGATAAAACCGATGCTCTGCATAAAAATCGCGTTGTTATTGTTGCAGGAAACGGCTACGTTGATGGCGGCGTCATCGATGATGCCGCATCGCGTTGAGCTGTTGTAGTTGTAAACGGTTTATGAGATTTACGCGCAATTTGTTGCCAACTTTCATTGTTGTCGTTGTTGTTATTGGCCATTGTTGTTGTTGTTGTTTTTGTTGCTGCTGTTGTTGCTGTTTTGACTGTGCCAGCGGCATATAAAACAATATGTGCCCAGTCTAAGCTTGGCTCGTTAAATGATTTGCGTTTGTTTTTACTCACGCTCTTTATGCCGCATTAGCCCCGGCTCTGACTGCCGCTCGCCGTTCTCGTTGGTAGTTCAAAAAATGTAAAATGGGGCTTACCTGCAATGACCATAAAAAGAGACCAAACGAGACCAATAGAGAGAGAGAGAGAGAGAGAGCAAGAGAGAGAGTAGACGGAACACCAGCCATGAGCATAAAAATTATTTACTTTCGTTTAATGCACAAATATTGATTAAGCTGTAAAATCGTAATACAAAACTGAAGTGCACACGCATCAAGTTTTTCAATTGGTTGTGCACATTTGAGCATGATCGACCCATTCCGGGCTGTGGGGAGTGTACAGAAAGTACAGCACTACACAAAAATATAAACATAGAATGTGGTCTACCAGTCGCATGCAACATTCATGTTGCCGCAAGACAAACCAGGGGCCTCCACCATATAGATACAGATATATGTGCATATAATTTTTGCTAGTCAAGCGCAACAGCTGCACAGGGGGCTGGGACATGGACAGGAGGTGGAGGTAGAGGCAGAGGTAGAGGTAGGGGCACAGTCAGCCAGTTCAACGGCTGTGGCATGCAACAGGCAATGAATCTCAATCTCGGTAACGTTGTCGCTATAGCCAGCTAGCTGGTTGCTTGGCTGACTGCTTGAAATGCAACAAAAACAAAAACAAAAACAAAACAACAAAAAACTGCAAAAAAGAGTAGAACGAGAAGGAGCCGTTGACTTTGGTAATTCAATGGCAACAACTGGCGGCCAAGGCAGCCGCCGCAACAGCAACATCGGACTCGGAGCCGCAGACGACATTCAACTTCAACTTGAATCTTTTGGAGAGAAATATGCGGTAACAACATTTACTAGCCAACCAGCCAGCCAGCCAGCCAGCCAGCCAGCCAGCCAGCTAGCTCTGTCTTGGCGGCGGCCAAGCGACGCGAAACCAACCAAGCAGCCAACAA